GTCTTGGTGCTGGAGCTGGCAATGAGACCATTAATCCCCCAGCATGTGTGAGGTCCCAGGTAGATACTCACACTGCTTGTGCATTAGGTTGACCCCTATTGTATGATCTACCTGAAAGCTGGCTTTGCCTTTTTTTATGATTTTTACATAATGAGCTAGGTTTTAAAAAGTCACCCTCCCAATTTCCAAATCAAAAAATCATGATTATGTGCCTATATGCAATGGCTTCTCTTTTTTATGTGTAGCCACTGGTGGATGCATGCATATTATCTCATGGTATGATTTCTCTTTTATTTTAGAAAAGTACTTGACACAGTAGCACGTCATAGTGCTGAAACTATTGCCTCAATGATCTTCTGTATTGACGAGCCAGTGACAGCTGATCTGCTGTGTCAATGCGACCGAATATTGTGCTCTTAGCAAAAAAAATAAAAATAAAAAAAAATTCCCAAAACAACCCCGGCAGGCATATCTTTTACTTAAATACATTTAGATAACATTAAGGGCATGGCTTATAACCACCAAAACCAACAAACTCAGAGTTAAGGCTTCTCACTTCATCTCCAGTGCACACAAGGGTGCTTGGCTTTTCCAGCACGAGTGGTACAGGAGATCGCACACTGTCCTCAGATCCCCACAGCACCTAGGCAGAAAGTTTGCCACATGACTGCTGCCGAATATTCCAGGTATGTTACATTCACAATGCACCTGCTGTGCTGCCGAACGCGCCGGGAATGTCTTAACATACCACTGAGTTCAGTGGAATGTTAATGGACGACAGCAGCCCAGCAGGTGTGATGGAAAAGTTGCAACGAAAGGGGAAAGGGTAAGGATTCAGTGAGAAGCTTTAACTTTGAATTTCCTGGCTTTTGTGAGCAAGAGTCGGGCCCTTAATGTTGTTTTAATGTATTTTTTGTGTTTAATTTTTAGTAAAAATTTGAACACGATCCAGGCTACAGAGGTTGCAGTGGATAAGAAGTTAAAAAGCTTTGGTTCGAGATTACAGGAGGCCGCAAGAGAAATTAAAGACATGGAAATGAGGATCGAGTGACAGGATGCTATTTTGCCTCAGAATACTGAAGATTGTAAAGCATTGAGAAATCGAATTCATGACCCTGGAAATCAAGCTCAGATTAAGAAATGTCAGGTTGGTAGGGGTTCCTGAAAGTTTGGAGCTAGGATAAACTGAGATTTGTTTTTTTGTTTTGTTTTGGTTTTTTCCATAATGCATTTCAAAGGTGCTGGGGTCTGGGGATGGATGGTTTTAATATTCTTTTACTTGTATAATGTGCCATGATCTGTCACATTCTTTAGAAAGCCAACTGAGCTGAATTGGCTCTTAAATCTGAGTTTAGTGTTTGCAGTTGCAGGATCCAATTTTATCTAGACTACAGTTGTTGTCCTTTGACATTGGATTGCATGTTTCACTGTTAACACAAGCATGGAAAATACTGCTCTTGTGTACACGTTGCTTTATCCTGCTACTTGGAGGATTTGCTGTAGAAACCAGACACGTGGTGCACCGTGACCTTTCTAGATAAGAAACAGACAGAATGTACCCACATTGTAGAAGAAATAGTTTCTTGTTCAGAAGACTGATTCATAGTGAAACTGTGTCTTTCCAAATGTAAACTTAAAAAAAATACTGCCACTGTGATTAAGTTACTGTAAATTTACTTAAGTGTTGAGTTATTATCCGTACTTCAGTGATATGGCATTTGTGGCTGAAACGTTGTGCAATGGGAAATCTAGACTGAAGCTTTGGGAGGTTTTAGCAAGCAAAGGAAATAACTGTGTTTTTCATGGTCAAGGTCACTGGGTAGGTTTGAGTTCTTAAGGCACCACTGGGCACACCCAGTCTGAGGTTTTGTAGGGTAAAAGTGAACTTCCAGTTATTATCATTGCCTTTCCTTCTGTATAGTGGGCCTGTGTCAGGTCTAGCACCTAAGACCAATTTTAAGTAGGGGTAACTGAGTTAATATCCACAAAGATACAGTGACATAAATGAAAGCAAAACCAAGGACTTCTCTCTATTTTGTGCTTTCACGTTAGTATTGCAAAACTAAAGCAGCTCAGGGGAGTGACTTGCATTATACTCTGGTTTTTTTCACTGTCCATTGTTTTGGTATCAACATTACAGTTTCATATTTATTTCTGGCAAGGAGCTACAAAGAATCCACTTGGTCTCTCTCTCTGGGAGTGCTGGACTGCCAGTCGGGGGGGGGGGGGAATCCTTTTTTTTTTGTGCATAGATCATAAGAAATTCCTTCTATGTAGAACCTCATGCCATACTGACAGTTACCTTCCAAAGTATAATTGTATTTTATGTTTCTTGCCCCTTAGCTTCTGTCTGTAAGATGCTTTATTTTGAGGGCATTCCTGAGTCCTGGGAAAATGTATAACAGCTGTACAAATAAGTTCCCATTAAGGAGCAGCAGTAATTAGCTGGTAATGGTAATAATATGGTGGTGTTATAAACTGTATAGTAATACATTGTGTATTTTATCATGTACTTGCATGTGATACATTAAGAACTACTGCTAAAATCAAGGATAGCCTGTTGTCCATTATAGGTGATACAGATCTTTATTGTAAGGTAGCTCAACACAACATAGGTTTGTTTCGAACATCCTTTTTTTGCTGATGGTTACATATTTGTTATTGAAATGAACTCTGAAATTTTCTGCTGTCTTGCCACGGGGGAGATTCAGCGTAGTGCATAATGGGAGCTGACATATTTGGTCTTTTCTTGAGAGCAAAACGTCTCTCCATGAGCATCATATCCAGGGACAGCATTGGTCGTGGATTCCTTACTGTCTGAAATGCCTGACTGTTGTTCCATGATTAGCACAGTGTTTGTTCACTAGTATAATCGGTCTGTTTGAAAGACACTGGGGCTAGATACAGACATTTGAAAAGCCCAAGTCGGCATCAGTCTAAGTTGCACGATTTTCTGTAAGCAGCGTAGTTTAGATCCGTAGCAAAAGAAACGCACATTAGCCCTTTGGTGTTGGGGAGCAAATCTTAGACCGGCAAAGCTTAGGCCATTTTTAAACCAGTCTATTTGTGCTGAACTTCTGTTCTGTTATGGGTATAGATGAGTTTGTTGTGCTGAACTTCTGTTCTGTTGTAGGTATAGACTGGTTTCCAATCACTTGTAGTGGAAAAAGTAATGTCTGTACCTGGACTAGGAGAGAATGAAAAAGGATCAAATTATACTTTTTGGTGATGAAATAGGGTTAATAAAATTCCCTTATGCTAATTCCCTTCTGCTTTAAGCTTGCAAGATCCTTTTGCTCTTTTCTACTGAATAGAAGATTTTAAAAAAATCTAGTAAAATTCAATTGAAATTTTTATCTAGAAAAAATTCTAGATGGCTTCCAAGCTATCAAGCTCTAAAACAGCATGAGTATTGGAATAGTTTGCATATTGCATAGATTTACATTCTGTCTTTGTTTTAAGCTGTTTCTTCTTCAAAGGTTAAGTTTTATGAGCACATAAATAGTTTAAATACTAAATCATACAGAGCTATACTGTTTATTTACTGTGTGCCCTGAGTAACACGTAGCTGCCAAAGACTCACTTGTGACTTTGTCACACTCTCTTAATCGTTTCCTCCAACCCCATAAACCACCTCCACTCTACAGGGTAGAGGTTGCCGAGTACAGGCCAGTGGCATATCTCCACACTAACTCAGCTTCCTTGGCAAGCTTGTCTTGCAGGACAGAGCAAGGAGCCATCTTTTCTTCAGTCACTTGCAGAAAGCAACTTAATAAGGCTTGCTCCTGCCCCTCTAGCTCAACTCCCGTGACCTGTGATGCAGGTAGTCCGTGCATGAGTGGATGACTTATGTGTCCTTTCACATTCTTACGTTAGGTTTAATTTGACTTGTTTGAAATTAAACAATTGCAGAGCGTTTTAAACTGACACCAACACAAATGCAGAGAGATGTTAATGGATGTATTGAGAACTTCTGGCCTGCTTCTGCTTGAAACATTTCACATTGTAGGAGAAAACCCCCAGTTCCTTCCTTATATTTTTATCTCTGGAAAAGCAATTTTGTATGTCTGTTCTATAAATGCAGCAGTTCGTACAATTCCCTCAATTATGTTTGTGTAGTTATCATTTCAGTGCAATTGGAAAGATGCTCTCAAAGCACTTTCATTGCGTTTCATAAACATTCTCTTGAAAATTATACATAACTATCTGGACTCTTAAAAATAGAGCCTGTACAATTCACTCTTTTTTTTCCTACTGTATTCGACATGTATCATTTGTCTGTTATCATCTGTTTGTTCCAAGGTGGAGATCCTGGATTTGTATGGTGAGAGGTGGGGGAGTATGGATCCTCGTATTTGAATAAAGACATACCGAGGAATTTTATGAATTCTGTAAACTTAAGAAGCTTTTAGGTCAGTTCTGAGCCAGTGAACTTTGACATTGGATCTTCAGCAAATCAAACATGATTGCATTCATTATTTTTAAATGTGATTTTAGTCTCAGCAGATCATCATTTTCTGTATACATGTAAACAACAACCCTCACCATATCCCATAATTTCTACTTTGTGAGGCCCGAAGAGTATTTTACTCATCCTGTCTTGCGGTTGCAAAGATGTGGAATCTCGTCAGAATACAAATCCTGGACGGGATGGCACGGATGCTACTCAGTACTGCTGTAGGATCCTCACCTTATCAAATGAGTGCACGCCTTCGCTGTTTTCAGCAATTCAATATCAGATCTTGAATCTGCCCTATGACAGTGCATTTTCTAGCTGTCCTACAAACGCATAAGCACAAACCAAGCAGGTGATTGCTTCAAAGCGCTGTCTTATCTTCTTTATTATAGTGTTTGACCAAGAAAAAGATCAATTTCTATTTTACATCTTGAAATCTTTTTTCTTCCACCAGACAAACACAGAGAGATACTTGAATCTGCTTTTTGTAAAATGTATTATGTTGATGTAAAATACTTTTTTTTTCTTCTCTGTTGCATCACAGGCATTCGACCTCCGATCATGAATGGGCCCATGCACCCGCGCCCTTTGGTAGCGTTGCTGGATGGCAGGGATTGCACAGTAGAAATGCCTATTTTGAAGGATGTTGCCACAGTGGCATTTTGTGATGCTCAGTCCACGCAAGAAATTCATGAAAAGGTAATGCTACGGAATAACAGCGTGATTAAAATGCCTAGTCCATTTTAACGAAACACTCATCTAAACAGTATATTGGTTAACTCTTCAAGATATCCAGCTTGAACAGTAGTTAGGCAAATTTCAGGTGGATGGCAAATGGGACAAAAATATCTTTCTAGAGATGCATTTCTATGTAGTGTGATCCTAGCTCTGACCTACTGCATACAGCAGAACTGCATTTGTAGACAACTGCATTAGCTCAGAGACAGTGTTTTGAAAAGTTTACGATAAACCCTTTTGACGAAAAGCCAAGTATTGGTTTTTATGTTGGATGTATTGAGGACTTACGGAGCAATATTCCCCACAATGCACTGAGCCCTCAGATTTGGAACCCAGGCTCGGAAGGATAAGGGGAGGAAAGTAGCTGATCATTGACTAGTAATAGGTAGCGGTTGAGGAGGACCAGGGAGGGGGCAATAAGCTATGAGAGAATCTCATCTTCCCTGAAGATCAGAAAGAGATACAGTGGGAGGCTAAGGTAGACACAAATGCTAACTTGATGGCCAGGTAAATTGGCACAAGTAAGTGCCTGTGTCTGCTGTTACGATTGTGCATCCGGAAGCTATTCAAAGCTAAATGTGGCCCAAATGTTATGGCTACTTACTAAATTGCACCAATATTTTTGCTCTCTCCCAGTGCATTGTTCGACTTGTCCCACGCTATTTACTGTAACCTTTAGGCTTGTAACAGCTAATGGCTCTTTTTCAAGTGCTCTGCAGTAGACTGAGCCCGTAACAGTTTAAACTATTAATTTTATTTACTCTTTACATTTTTATAAAATATAGCACTAATAAACATTTTAAAGGTTGGCGTATTTCTATGATGAAAAGCCTAATCCTTTCTCAGATAGTTTTGTGTTAAAAATAGCTGCTTGAAAGTAAAAGCAATCATTTCCTGTCAGCTTTTTAAGTGAATGAGCTTATTTTATATGGTCCCTTTCTCCTCATCAGTATTGTTCTAGTATGATCAAAATGCATTTAGAAACAGGACATTTATTCTGAAAAGGAGCCTTTCTGTTATTTTAAGCTCTTGAAATGTAGAATGTGTCAAGAAAAATTTTAAAACAACCTTAAAGTTGGGGTGGGGGGAGGTTAGAGAGAAGCCAAAGGACGGATCATGTGCTAGCTGTTTTGCAGACTAGGAATTCCTCATTCTTATTGTGTTTTAGGGGAAATGTTCAACCAAAGGAATAAGTACATACTTCTCAAGTACTACATATAGTTCTTCTGTGATATCTGATGTAGATTCCTGGACTTCCTGTCTAACAGCAACTTGTATTGAAGTCAGTGACTGTTAGAACCATTATCGAGAATCATCTTGGAGAGTTTTCCTGCACCCTCATTGTTGCCATAGATCCTGTAACTCAAGTTTTCTTTGTTTTCTTAGATATAAAATAACTTTAATGTGGGGAGTAGGAAGCAGAGAAAAACTAAAGAAAGGAGTCTCTCCTCTGTGTGCTTCTTTCTTCAGAATATATATCATTTCCCCACAGAATACAAGCAATTAAAAAAAAATGTACTTCTGTAGGACCTTCCTTTTAAAGAGAGATGTGAATGATTAGTTAAAGGCATCACTGGCAAAATTATAGACCTGATCCAATTCTCTTTCTCCATACATTTTAAAGAATCAACGACTCTTCGGAAGAAACCTCTGTTCATATCAACTCAGACATGTCCTGAAATGTATGTTAGATCACAAGCTTTGGCTCTTTAACAATAGGATGACATAAACTGAGACGAGAAATGATTCATAGATTCATAGATGCTAGGGTGAGAAGGCAGCTCAGTAGGTCATCGAGTCTGACCCCCTGTCCTGGGCAGGAAGGAGCGCTGGGGTCAGACAACCCTAGGTAGGTGCTTGTCCAGTCTCCTCTTGAAGACCCCCGAGGTAGGAGAGAGCACCACTTCCTTTGGAAGCTCATTACAGATTCTGGCAACCCTTACTATGAAGTTTTCTAATGTCCAACCTAAATCTGCTCTCTGTCAATTTGTGGCCATTGTTCCTGGTTACTCCAGAGGGTGCCCTAGTAAATAGAGCATCTCTATTCTCTGCTGCCCTCCCCTGAGGAATTTATAGGCAGCCACAAGATCACCTCTCAGCCTTCTCTTGTGAACACTAAAGAGATCTAGGTGTCTCAGTCTCTCTTTGTAGGGTCTCTGACCATGTGAGTGGCCTCCTCTGGACCCACTCAAGATTCACTACATCCCCCTTGAAGTGCAGCGCCCAAAACTGGATGCAGTACTCCAACTGCAGCCTAATCAGTACTGCAGAGAGGGGAAGCATCACCGTCCTGGACCTATTTGCCATGCATCTGCTAATGCATGATAAAGTGCGGTTACCCTTGTTGATCACTTGGGCACATTGACAACTCATGTTCATCTTGGAGTCAACTAGGACTCCAAGATCTCTTTCCACTGCTGTGCTGCTGAGAAGGTCATCCCCCGGCCTGTACATGTTAGTGCTTCTTTTTGCCCATGTCTAGCACTTTGCACTTATCATTGTTGAACTGCATCCTATTTTGTTCTGCCCATTTTTCCAATCTGTTCAGATCCGCCTGGATCTGTTCCTTACCCTCTGATGTGTTAACTTTGCCCCATAATTTGGTATAGTCTGTGAACTTGTACAGGGTGCTCTCCATGCCTGCATCCAAGTCACTGATAAAGACACTGAATAGCACCAGTCCAAGGACTGAGTCTTCCGGGCCTCCGCTGCCCACATCCTTTCAGGTCGACATCGACCCATCCACCGCCACTCTCTGGGTGCAACCCCTAAGCCAGTTTGCCACCCACCACCTAACCGTGTAATTATCTACATCACAGCCTGTCAGTTTATTTACAAGAACAGAATGAGATACCGTATCGAAAGCCTTCTTAAAGTCTAGGTAGATGACATCTACCTCGACTCCTGCATCTATGCATTTTGTGACCCGGTCATAAAAAGAAACAAGGTTAGTCAGGCAGGATCTACCCGCAATGAATCTGTACTGATTTCCTTTCTGCATTATTTCTCCTGCTGGGAGAAATGTGATCCTTGATGATTTTTTCCAGAGTTTTCCCAAGGATAGAGGTGAGCCTAACTGGCCTATAGTTTCCTGGCTTCTCCCTCCTCCCCTTCTTGAAAATAAGGACCACATTGGCTCTTTTCCAGTCCTCTGGGACCTGACTGGAGCACCATGAGTGCTGAAACAACCAAGCCAGTGGTTCTGCTATGACACCAGCCATCAGCTATCAGCACCCTTGGATGAAGATCATCTGGGCCTGCTGACTTGAACACATCCAGGCCCTCCAAGTGCCCCTTTATTAAGTCTGCGCTAGCAGTTGGTGTGTTGGTGTCCCTCCTGTGTCTATCTATGATCCAACTGGGAGATTTGTCTTGGTCTGTGTCTAGGAATACAGATGCAAAGAACTCACTGAAGTGCTCAGCTTTGTGATTCCTTTTTAATTACACTTGAAACAAATGTTTCCCTTCAGCATTTGCAGCACAGACATGTCAACATAATGTTTTAAAACAGTTATTGAACTAGAAACGGACTATAAACAAATGTAA